GCCTGGCCGGCCGGCTCGGCCCGGGCCGCAGCTGCCAGCTGCCCTCCGAGTGGAGACCCCTGAGCGAGGGCTGCCGCGCCGAGCTGGCGGAGATCATCGTGTACGCCAAGGTGCTGGCGCTGCACCCGGAGGTGCACAGCCTGTACAACTACCTGCCGTGGCAGTACGAGGCCAGCCAGGGCGGGCTGCTCTACTCGGCCGAGGTCGAGATGCTGTGCGACCAGGCGTGGGGCAGCATGCTGGAGGTGCCCGCCGGCTCCCGGCTCAACCTCACTGGCCTGGGCTACTTCTCCTGCCATTCCCACACCGTGATGCAGGACGACTCCTATTTCTTCTTCCTCAGGTGAGCCTGGCACCTCCTGCCCCCACTCCCTATTCGCCCGTGAACCCCCGCGGTCGTCGTTCGGTGCGGCGGCCAGGCGGAGAATGCCAAATGCCGAGAATGCCAAATGCCAATAATGCCTAGATGCCTCTTCGTCCTCTCTTCGTTCTCACTCCGGAAGTCTCTGCAGAGACCCTCCGAAATTGGCTACAGGGCTGCCTCTACGAGCCAGAGATGGTATCAGGTTTAAGTACCAAAAGAATGCGTCTAGCTTGAGCTCTGCGCCGCGCGAGGGTGCCAACAATTCATTTGACTCGTTTGTGTTTAACTACTTTCGACGTAGTGAGAAAAAGAAAACAAACCAAAAAAAATCTTTGGTATCACTGGGTTGCATCCTGGCTCTGCCCTCCCTAACTGTAATTTTGATTAAGTTACTGAGAGTCCAAGAACCTCAGTATCTTCCGTTTTATAGTGGGCATCACAAGATTGCTTGGGACTGAAATACAAGAACCCAAGCACTAGTTCACTTTCTCCGCTCTCCGCCCACCTCCATGCCACAATGAGAGCGCTCTGGAATGCAGCCGGCTGTCTTCTCCTTTCACTGTCTCCCATCAGCTGCCTGCAGACCCCCCTGCTGGCTTAGTCACAGGAACACGGGTTTATGGAGTCCATCCCAGGGCTGTGAAGAATATAAAGCTGAACCAGGCAGGAGAACTATTCTGATTCCAGAGCCCTGGGGTCTAAAAGATCACCTACTTTCCAGGTGAAATGTAACAAACCAAAATCCAATCTCACTGTCACTGAGTCCATTCCAACGCAGAGCAACCCTATAGGACAGGGATTCTCACTCATATGTACCCTATAGGATTGGGTAGAAGTATGGGATTAGAAAAGGCTCATCTTTCTCATAGTGACCCTATAGGACAGGGTAGAGCTAACTCTTTACGGAGTGGAAAGCCTTATCTTTCTCCTGTGGATCGGCTGGTGATCTCAAACTCCCAAACTTTGGGTTGTCAGCCCACGACGCCACTGTGGCTCACAGCACCTGAGAATTCAGTCAGCCTGAAACCAGAGAGCCAACAGCAGGTGGAACCCTACATTCGTGGGTGGTCTCCAATTGAGTTACAAGAGCAATGACAAGAGTAACAGTCACTTCAAGAGAGACTGGAACATACGTCAAGCCAGTGAGTGAGTTAGTCAGTGATAGGGGTCATCAGAAATCGTTTCAGGCTCCCCATTCCGTGACGTAGCAGAGATGGGGTCGCTGGAGCAGCTGTGACCTAGGTCTGCAGATTCACTTTTAGTTCTTGGGATTTCTCATCCCTCTGAGAAAGAAAACAGTAAGTTCCACGGAGGGGTGTGTTTAAGCCCATGGCAACACATGTTCCCCATATTTAAGCCGGAACATCTAAGTTTAGAACACACGCCACACTTTGTGCCGGCTTGCGTGGTTTGGCTAAATTAAGTCAAAAGTTTTTGAATGGCCAGAGAAGGGTAGTTTCGCAACAATGTCTGCATGCACTGACACAGCGCCTTCCTGAGACAGAGAAACTTAGAGTCCTCGTTTTTTGTATATATTTTTAGGAATAATATTGAGAACCTGGCTTAAAAACAGTCAACAAGGAAACTTTTGCTTTCCAAAGAAAAAACTCTCCAAGTATTTCAGCAGACATTACTATATTCCAATTTTATCATGAAAAGCAATCTCCCCCTCCCCCACGCAGTGCTTCTATGGTATTCAGCCACCTCTTACATCTTTTCCTCTGACATATTTACAAAGAGAGAAAAACCGAGTCCAACAGTAGTCTGACAGACTCCCACCTCACAGCTTTGCCTTGCCCTGAAGTGGGTTAAGAACTGCATACGCGGCATGCCTCTGCTGTGATTCTGGGGTTCGCTGAGATGAGAACAGGCTGCGGTCAGTGTCCCAGGGCCAAGTAGCCATGGAGACGCATACCCCCTTGGGACTGGAGCTGGAGGGCAACTTCCATCTTTCTTTTCCTCTTTATGATGTCTGTCTGAGTAGCTCTGTGCACTAGGTCCTGTCAAACGTTCAACTAATAGGTTTACGACATTTCCTCTGTGCCTAGTACTGTACTCATTGGTATACATCTTCTAATGGCTTTACAGGATGGTCATTCTCTTTGTGCAGACTGGAATATTGTGGCTTGAAGACTTTAGGAAACCTGTTTCATATCTCATAGGAGATAGGTGTTCTGGCCGTACCGGAATGCAGGTCATAACAATGAGCCTTCCTTTCCCCAAACAATCCTTTGATAAGAAGAGCGGTTTCTGAGAAGATGCAGGAGATCTATAAATAGACAAACATACACACTTGTGCACGTACCACGCGCGCGCGCGCACACACACACGGACGCGTTCCCTTACTTCATCTAAGCTCTGCTTTTTGAAAACCCTAAGAACAGACTCATCTCACATGAGGCAGAGCCAAAGAGATATACAAACTTCTCTCCTGGGGACCAGGACAAGATCGTCATGTAGTTGGCCATACTATCAGGGTCTTTGGTGATTCTTTGATAGAAACCATAAACCCGATGTGTGTCCAGTGTACATCTCTGTTTTGTCCTTCCCCCTCCCCACCAGGATGGATGAAAATTATAACCTCTTGCCTCATGGAGTCAACTTCCAGGATGCTGTCTTTCCAGACACGCAGGAGAACAAGAGGATGTTTTCCAGCCTCTTCCAGTTTTCAAACTGCTCTCAAGGGCAGCAGCTGGCAACTTTCTCCAGTGATTGGGAGATCCAGGAAGACAACAGGGTAAGAACTGGCTGTACCCTCTGCTGCAGTGAAATCATAAAAGAGCTACATCTTATGTGGCTTTTGTAACCAAAGGAGTCTAGAATGCGCTTGCAAAAGGCCAGACCAAAGAGTCCTATTCTCTCCTCTATTTCTCTCCTTCACTCCCAGCAGTTAAAAACGATTGCTCATAAACTGGATTCCCAAGGCTTTCCTAAATGATGAGGGTTTCTTCACAAAGTGAGGGAACAAGTTAGGATCAAGGTTGCATCCGTTGCCTCTTCTGTAAAATGGGATATGTTAGTAGCATCTGCCTTATAGGGACGAAGCCATGCCATTGAGTAAGTAAAAATTGTAAATAGCAAAGCCCCTGTAGAGTGCTTGACAGAGTAAGAACTCGATAAAGGTGAATGATTGCTGTCA